CGTCTTGAAATTGTTACAGAGTTATTCGTAACCGATTTATTCTATACACCCATTTAGTGAGGCGTTATGCCGCCGTATATGTATGCATTATCCGTTTTATTTTATTTCATCTTGTTGTTGTCGTGCTGCATTGCCCTCGTAAGTGTAGCATTGATCTCAGCATGGGGAAGTCACAGAGATGTAGAATACGGTATGTCATAATGAGATCGACTCGCACCCGACGGTAGGACAAGGTGTAGTCCTAGTTTCTTGCACTGGTCTTCATACACAAAGCCACGTAAACTCGGGGTAAGCCTGTTAGCAACGTATTGGACCCGTTCGATTTTTTGTGTCTCGCCTCGGCTAATCGGAATTGGGCGGGCGAACCGTATTCTAGCATTGGTCTAGTGATGGGAGAGAAGAGTCGAGTGGCAACCTCTTCAGGCCATGTGCCGAAGCTACGTTTGAGCGCCCAAAGCATGCCCAGTCCGTTATGATATAGCCTGTTCGTGTTGTCCACGGACTTCAAATCGTAGCGTAAGAGTACACGTAGGCCCTTCACGGATTTTGTGGGATATAGCAGTTGGCCGTCAACGGTGTAGTTTCCGTCGTCAGCAGCTTTCCCCAGACTCATAAATACGGACTTGGCTGGGTTGATGGGGAGATGAACTTCTGCAGACCATGTGGATAGACAATTAAGGTCTTGCTGAAGCGCGTCTTGAAACATACTTCATGTAAATATATGTACAATGCATAACCATTGATTTCACTAGCATATTGTTGTGATGGATAATGATTGCAACACTTCTTCCGGGTAGAATAAACGCTACGAGAAAACAGAACAAGATGTGTACGTGAGAATCATGCGATCTCTCAGTTCTCCAACAGGGTGCAGGCGTCGCTGTTGATGTTTACTGTAACGTTGACGGCGAAGGACGAAACCATTGAAGCTCAGTAGGCTGCGTTAGACGCTTTTTGCAAGCCAGGGTCACGTACATCCGTTGCAGATATGACGTTAACCTCGTGTTTGCCAAATAACAATTATGATTACTGCCATTTCTCTATCAACCATGGTTCTAACATGGTAAGGGGACTGTCGCTGGCAAGTAACTTAGGAGCTACAAGATAGAGATGTTTTCACCACCGATTTTCGTTGGCGACTTCGGCACTTCGCTTCAGCCGTTATAGCTTCAATATGGCGCACATGCCCATTAATCACAAACGGTGCAGGATTATCGTAACGAGGTATTCGGTCATCGGTCGCAGAGGTCCAAAGGATTGGCGGGCCCGGTTACCAGTTTTGAACTCCTTACATTTTCCTATAGGTTTATTTGAAAAGAGTAGTCTGCAAGACAACGCCTATTTCACTGGGACAATTGAAAGGCAGTATTGTCAACGAATGTCGCACCATCAACACGGAAACTTTGCAAAAAGCTGGCCTATTGCCTCATACGATTTCCCTATTGCAAGCAGAGCGCCGGCGGGCACGTTGAGCCTCTTCTTCGTTGACGGACATATCGCCGTTTTATGCTGTTTATATTAATATACGTATTCACCGTATTGTTTCCCGAGCAAATGGTGCCAAAGGTGTGTCCGGCCAGATTACATTCCACGAGCAAAGCTGATTCGACAGCGCTTAGACTGACCACTTCTACACAACTTGGTTCACAATGCCAATGCTCCTTTCTCATGGTTATGCCTAAGGAATACAGGGAGGATGTGAACGAGATGTTGATGTGAGATTAGGCTACGCGGTTCCGTATTTTTATCGTGTTCATCGGCCTACAAACTCCGGTGTGGGATGAGTGCCTCTAAACAATAACATACCAGTCACATAAAGGGGAAAGATGGTCCAACGATTTTTCAGTAAGAATACAGACCGTGAAAGCATGGCTTATTGGTCATTTAGAATTTGATAATCGGAGTTTGCAGCAGTGTGTCAGAAAAGTTACCTAAGGGATAACTGGCTTGTGGTGGACAGTATGCGAGAATCCACATGCGTGTGCTGTGGTCCCACGATTTGTCAATCAGTTTTGCTAACCAGTGAGCCTCGCGCTTTTTGAAATACGTAAAATCTCAGTATCCGCGAGGATTAGATATTGCCTAAAAATGCAGCTTCTCAGTTCCATGCTAATGGAACATTGCCTCATCAGTGAATACGTTGGAATGAACGCTCAAGACTGTGACGGGAGAATAGGCTGAATGTCAGCGAGTAGTCTTTAGGCGGCATAGCTTTTTAAGATCCCTTTCTCAAAACGTTACATTTCATATTTGCAAGGTCAAGTTGTAAGGAATGCCTATTTTGCTGAGGTGGGTTGTTGGAAGCTAACTTTCAGTCTACGAGAGCGTCGCCAATAACCCTTTTGTCATTAGCTGGGATGACACTAAACACCTACTACACACTCCTTGCTCAGGCCACTTACGCCTGTCCAAGCGTAACCACAATTCTACCGCAGTAGCCCGGTAATGATGCACTGCTGTCTTGATTTTGCACGCCTGCATTCGTTCCAACCAGCACGAAAACACGGTAGGCATCAATCGGTGAACTTGCCCTGTGGCGTGCCGTAGTTGACTTCAACGCAACTATCCGCACCCATCCAGCGTTTTCACGATGGACGAGACTGGCTAGTACATCTGCACCCAGGTGCATGCATACGGCCATCACTCCGGTCGTTCATACCCATGTGACCGGGTGAGAGACATTTGGAGTTAGACCAACATCCACACTTGGACAGTTGGCAATTTAGTGCACTCTTCTCTCACCCGAAGGCGTGACCCTTGGTCCCCGAGCAACAGAGTGAAAAGGGGCTAGACTTCTGGGAGAAACTGTATATTACGTAACACTCCATTTGTTTATGGATAGCAGTTTGCTTAACAAATGTCTGTACGCTTTGTTTTTACTTGCGGTACATTTGGCAATTTAACGAATTCGCATTGTTTGTTCTGAATCTTTGTGACCATTTAGGTAACTAATCTGGAGCCCGTTACCTTTTGGTAATTCATATATCTACAGAACTACGGTAATTTCACTATAATGTGTTCCACCCACAACAAGCCATGCGCTTACTAGGTATGAGCGTCCTGAGGTTAGACAGGTATTTCTGCTTTAAATTTCCTCGTGACTAACAGTGGGTTGAACTGTTTGACGGTCGACGCGCCTGTTTTGGTGCACAATACCTTCATACTAAAACCAGTCTGATATAGAATGCAACAGATGAACAACAAAACCTCCGGTTCGCAAGAGAATTAGGTTTGTGAGATCGGACCAAATCTCGTGCTGGTTAACTTGAAGAACAGTGGTGTGCATCATAAGTGAAAGAGAGAATTTACAATGGGGCGTATTGGTGACAGAGTTTCGTAGACTGGTAAAATTCGCACTGTCTATTTTATAAAGAATAATATCGTTTGGAGTCCTCAGTTTACTATCTAGCGTGAATGTCTGACTCACAATGTTACTAGTTAATATTAGGCTTTATTGGCGCCCCCATCTAGGTGCATGCACTCAACAGTTTACCTCCTGGTGTCATATAAATAAATAAATTTTTTATTCTCGATAATGCCTGATGCGCCTACAAGACTATGCTATGGTGATACAAACACTAAGACCTGGTAAATGTAAATAACGGTACAACTTTATAAGTAGCATGTAGAGCTATGAGATATGTGCGTATAAATGTATGCAAGTAAGAATGTGTGTTGTTGCGTTGCTTGAATTTCTAAAATGTCACCCCTTGACCTATTAGAGTACCATGGCGGTTTACTCCAGGCCATTCATACGTAGCTTTGCTTGATTTAGTAATATGGACGTTTACTTTCAACTGCGATCATGGTCAACCCCAGGTGGGTCCCGAAGAGTTTGCATCTTATTTACTGTGGGATGCCTGGTTTGAGGCGGGCAGTAGCGAAGATCTGAACAACAATTATGCTCTTCCTGCGTCGGAACCAATCATTGGCGCTCGTACTCTGTAACAGTCAAACTGAGCTTATAATCCATAACGGTATTTCACGTAACCGATCCCCCCTCAGCTTCTTATGAGTTGGACTCTAAGGGAATTCTTCTGCTCTCTAGACAATGAGTTGTTTGATGTGAGCATTTAGAAATTACCAACCAACATAGCCCCTTAGATCACGGGGGCACGTTACCTTTGCGTTGTTTACCTTTGTATATCCGCGGCTACACCTCATGAGACCGTAATGGACGTCAGTTTTGGGTTACTTGCATATGCGAGCTTCTTAACACTGAACGTCGTGATTGTACGTTCTACGCGCTAGGAAGCCGATATGCATTTGTTTTTTCCGTAGTACAGCCATGTATAGATGTCGCTCCAAGACCCGACATTCCTTTCCTAACCCCACTGCTCGTTAAAAAGCGCTATCTGTCCACTGTGCTTCTTCCATCCGCAACTCTACATGTACGTCATTTTTCGACCAGTCGTTTTCATTAACAGGAATCCCATCCGTCCGTTTTCGTCTGAATGCAGTGCTTCCACTCGCACATCTCTGTACCTCATATGGTAAGTCCAAAAAGACTGGTCCCTTTTTACTCCGTTGCTCGGGGACTAAGCTTCACGCCTTAGGGTGAGACGAGAGTGCAGTATGTTACGAACTGTCCGATAGTAGGAGTTGGTCTATCTGAAAATATCCCACATGCAGTCACATGGGTGTGAACGACTGGAGTGATGGCCGTATGCCTGCATCTGGGTACAGGTGTACTGACGATGGATGGACAAACAGACCTCGACAGATATCAGTTGCCACACCGATATTGAAATGCCACGCCAACATGCCACTCTCATGCATCGTGACAACGCTGGATGGGCAAACAGAACAACCTGCCGGGAGGTCACTGACGAAAGAATTCGCCGCACTGATTGGTCTTGGCACGATCGATGGATATGACGAAGGTTAATAAGCTACCCACAGCCATCGCTTGGTTCCCGAGCAACGGAGTAAAAGGGGGCCAGTCTTGGGATTTACCAAAGATGATCCACCGTGTTTAGAAATACTCAGAGAAGCGCTCGTACATTCGGAATACATTGCATTTATGACACTTCGATCATAAAACAGTACCCTATTTATGACTTTGTACAATCGAATCTGGTTCGTTGGTGTGTAAGTTTCGGAAACTCAAAGACATGTGGTATGGGCCGGAGACAATTTCTTTGTAACGAGCTGCTCGCCTGGTTACATTCTGTGTTTTCCCCATCGGCTGCTTTCTATGTGTCTAGATTCATGAGGAGTGCTGTACTACGTTTGATCCAGTGCTCAGGCGGCTTCTCACCCGTCTTTAGTTCCACACCAATCATGAACGAAGAGCGATCTGAGGTGCCCGCGCGATTTGGGTAGTAATAGCATGGTGCCACATAAGTGTCTGGAAGCAAAAGGTGTAGCATTAGGAAGAGTAGCAATTATCACTCAAATATTTCAAACACGATTATCTCATGGTACTTGTCACTCCTTTAACGTACTCATTATCCAGCGGTGATGTTGGGGCTCTACTCCGAAACAGATACCGCTGGTGAGTTAACACTGTCAAAAGGACTCCTGTTCGCATTGGGACAATCTAACAGGGGTCTTTGGGTTCCTGATGATTCCCAACAAAACGAAATCGCTTTGTTGTAGGAGCTATTCGACAATGCTCCTCTCCCTCCCTCTCTCTTTATAAATTCTAGTTCCCTACTAACTGTAAAGTTACTTGCATCCATCCATTAGATTGAATCACAGCCACGTGGGCCTGGACATTAATCCCGTCCCTAACTCGTTTTCATAACTCGTACTTCATCCGACCGGCTAAGCACCTTCATTCCGGTTAGTCTCTTGTACACATCATTTGGACAAGTGCCTGAAACCAACACACCTATAACGCCACTCGTATTCTGTTTTAAGCTAAAATCCCGACGATGACTGGTGCTAAAGCGATCTCAGAAATTTTACAGCATTTGTGGCATATCTGTCCGGTTTGTGATCGGCAGTGCTAAGCATATTGCCTTCCGAGTTAATATTCACTTTTTGGTTGGTACTACCAGTATGGCTTCCGAACCAAACGTACTGCTTACACCTAGAGAACCGTGACCCAGTCATTCACATGAAGCCGTGCAGCCTGTTTTTATTGGCTTGGTAGCACCCATTATGCAATTCTGGACCCATCCCCTGAAAATGCATATGTAGATCTAATGGATAAAACGACTTGTGCAACAAAATGAATCTACTGATATCTTAGTCCATCGTATATTGATCTAACGTTTACGCACTTCTCAACTCTTTTGGTATTGCCTGTACACTCACTTTTAGGCGGTTTCTTTTTATTCTCAACCGGTTTGAAATGTATCCCGGGCATTGGGCACACCAGCTGCATTGGAGTTGCTTCCGTCAGACATCCAGCCTTTTTGTCCCAGCCGGCACCCTGCAGGTACAGGTTGCAGATGTACACACCGTCTTTTGGAGTTGGAAGCATATTCACATCTGTGGTGGTGAGGACGGAGAAATCCCAACTCAGGCTGTCCACTGCAACATTGTTCTGACGCGCCGCAGTTTGCAGCACTGCAGTCAAGAACCCAGTGGGGAACGTGAACGCTCCGATCCAAAATGCCTTCGGTGCGTGTGCGGTTCGCGCCCACTTCGCAAACATATCGACTCGAGTGGACAAGTCTCTGGCCCATGAACCGAGCGGCTTCAACGAGCAATACGCCTGAAGCATAGAAGCGGGACGAAAAGTTGGGGTTACTATTATGTATATATGGTTGGCGTCATCCGGTTTCGGATTTGCCTGTCACTGTGGCCAGCCACAGGACGCCTGCGCCTACAGGGACCATGGGTGGCTTGCGCTGCACCACCCACAGCTCCAACCACACACTCCGTATCTAGTGTAAACCCGAAGAAATAAGACCGGGAGGCATGTGGATGGGAGCCACGTTTCATCAACGGAGCTGGCCCACACTCCTTCACAGGCAAACACAATCACGCTGTATTTGGGGAATCAAGCGCACACAAGGCGGTGGCTGGACCGTAGTCCGCTCCACACTGAGTGCATGGAACCACTCTTCTAGCCTGGCACGGCCACAAGGACCGTGCACCCTGTCCCATCCAGCAACGACTAATTGTCTCCTAGAGTCAGTATGGACGAGGTAGTGGGTGATAGACAAGTATGCACCTTGTCAACATGCACATCAAGCGCAGCCACACCGGGGATATCAAGAAACAGACAATCACTTGTGTGAAAGCTAACAAAGAAACTAAATCGAGTAATGCATGAGGAAACGGTAACATAAATCTTAAAGTAATGAACATATAAGTTGTTTACAAAAGAATCCGAGATAAGTTCACGAGGTCAGAAAGTATATTTTACGGAAATGCCACAAACCTGAAAATGTCATCAAAGGTAACTACCATTGGATTAAGCGACGTGTGCAAGTTTATAGAAGAGAGTACTGGTAGGCATTTATATGAGAAAGAATAGCATTAGTAGAAAATTGAAAACCCACCATCAGAAATAAATAGACAGCATGCAAGCACGCGGTTAATAAATCAAATGCAGCGTGCCTACAAACGCTGCGCTGGTTTTGCCTACGTTCTCTGCCGGACCCGTCGTCGCGTCGGTAGTGGTCCCGAGTGGCCTCGCTCATGGCTCACTAGGCCTGCCTGACTCAGGCACTCGCGACCGCATTTGCTACAGCACCATGCGCTCGATGTTGATGGACTACAACCCATCGGCGCTTGCCGCTTCTTCTCTGCATGTATGAGGTCTTCCTCCTGCACTTCGGTATCTGCCTTCGTGATTAGATCGTGCCATGCACGCCGATCAACCGCCTTCAATTCCCATGACCTACAATCAAGGTTAGAACGTGAGAAGCTCAATTTGATCATGTCCTGGTAACGTAACTTTGGTTTCCCTACATGCCGCTTCCTAATACTCGGCTGACCATATAAGAGTTGTTTCAGTATCCGCGAAGAATCCATAAGGCACACATGGCCGAGTCACCTCAGATGTCTCAGCAAAAGTATACAGTCCATTGCATACATCCCACTTTGTCGCAACACTTCCCTGTCAGCAACTCTGTCGCCTCAACCGATGCGCAAAATCCGTCGCAAACACTGATGATTGAATCGCTCGGGATATCGCACATCCCGCCGGTATATCGTCCACGTTTCGGTGTCGTATAGAAGAACGGACAACACCATGGATTTATCCACCATCAGTTTTGTGCCAACGGTAAGCTGATGGTTGTTCCACACTCGGTAGTCTAGCTTCCCGAATGCCGTCGGTGCCTTCGAGACGCGGATACGAAGAGCACTGCGTATCGCCTGTTCAGTCGACAACACTCTCAAGGTAGCAGAAGCGAGAGATGATTTCCATTACGTCATCATCGATGCTGATTCGCGGCCATATTGAAGATGGCACCGCCGGTGAAGGCTGAAAGAGACAGACAGTTTCGCTTGTGTTGATGGTGAGCCCGAATTTGGCCGCTGTCGAAGCCAGAGCACTAGTCATGTGCTGCAACTCATCCGCACTGTGCAAACAACGCACAGTCGTCAGCAAACAGCAACATACGGATACTTGTCTCACAGACTAGAGCTCGCACCGAAACGACGGATGTTCAGCAACTCACCATCGATACGGTGCTCCACACGAACACCGTAAGCACAAGCGGCATCAAAAGCACAAGACATCATTGCATGAAGATATATATAAAACAGGGCAGGAGCTAAGACACAGCGTTGCTTCACACTAGAGACAACTGTAAAGTCATCCGAGGTCTCTCCACTTAGCTGCATCCTCGTTCGCATACCACTGTGCAGACACTCAAGTAAACTAATAAACTTACGCAGACAACCAAACTTACCCAACACCATCTACAATGCCTCGCGATTAACCGTATTAAATACCTTTGTAAAATTAACAAACACCGAGTACAATGGCTGGTGTCGTTCTCTACACATTTCTTGCAACTGACGAGCCGCAAACACCATATCTATAGTGCTGCGACCCAAACGGAATCAACATTGCTCTCCGCCACGTTAGGTTCCACAACCTGACTGACGAGGCGGTTGAGCAGGATTCAGCAAGTTGATACCACGAAAATTGGTGCTTGATCCCTTTGCCCTTGTACATTGATAGAACAATGACATCATCCAGCTCAGGAGGCACCTCCTTCTCAATCCACGCGCGTTCCACCAAATGGTGCAGCGCAGTCACCAACGCAGGTCCGCCGTGCTTCAATACTTCAGGCGGGATCCCGTCTGCACAGGTACACTTGCCGCTTCGCAGCTGAGCAAGTGCTCTCTGCGTCTCATCCAGTGTCGGCGTGTCCGCCAGAATCGTCTTCACATCGCGCTGCTTGAGGCCGTTCACAGTAGGCCAATCGGTCTATGGACGGTTGTTCAGAAGACAGTCAAAGTGTTTCCGCCAGATCTGCATTATGTCTGCAGTCTGGGTGCAGGTAGCGCCTGAACTACAATCGATCAGCGTCCTCAGCGGCTTTAATATCGGTTCATACACCGCCTTCAAAGGGTCAAAGAATTCCTTTTGTTGGCGGCGTGCGGCGTAGCATTCCATCTGCTTCTCCGCTTACCAAGCATTTTTAATGCGTCGTAGCTTTCGGCTCATTCGCCGTCGAAGTTTGCGAAACTGACTATTCTTCCCCAAGTTCCTGCGGTCTGTCACGTGTGCGGCAAATGCTGCATTCTTCCCTGACACCAATGCGCTAATCGTCGCATTGTTGTCATCAAACCAATCAGGCCGCTTACAGCTTGCGCGCCCGATGGTCTCCTCGGCAGCAACTTCACCTGGTCGCGAATGTGGTGCCACAGCTCGCCCACTGCGGCTATGCATTCCACATTACACAGGTGTGCAGCAATCACCTTCTCCAGGTCGGTACGTTTCGCCACGGTACCGAGGGAGAGAATGTTAAATTTACGCCGATTCACGGCGGGAGTGCAATACATAGATTGACGAGAATATATGTACAGTTTGGTCCGCACCAGTTTGTGAGGAGTGCCACACTTAGCTCCACGCAGTACACGTGTCATGCGCACTTCAAGCATATCACGCTGACGTACGATGACATAGTCGAGCAGGTGAGCGTGACCACTCCGTGGGTGCGTCCAATTTGCTATATCACGCGCATTCAGTGCAAACCGAGTGTTTGTGATCGTCAGGCCATGAATGGCACACAGTGAGAGCAGCCTGTCACCGTTCGCATTCGCTGAACCAATGCCATGCGAACCGATAACATCTGTCCACACCGATGCATCACGCCCAACTCGCGCGCGTTGAAATCACCCAACGTGAATAGTCGGTCGCTGCTCGACGCAACGGCATCACGGAGGATAGCTGAGTGTAGAGTTGATCACGCGTGTCATCAGGATAACACATGGTCGGACCGTACGTGATTATAAAGATGGCAAACTTACCTCTTCTGAGTCGTAGACGAACAGTCATCAGTCGCGCGCTGATGCCAGTTGGTTCACCCACCACTGGCTATGGAGGCGATCGGATATTGCAAATCCCACTCCATGATCTCGTGGTGCTTGGGCGGCGTTCCCCACCCAGTAGAATGTGTAGCCAGCACCTGCTTCATGCAACTTACCTTGCTCAGCGAGGCCAGTTTCACTGAGCGCCGCAATATCGATGTTGTAGCGCGCCAGTTCCATCGCGACGAGTGCAGTGCGTCGCTCCGGGCGCTCATTGGAGTTCCGGTCCAGTAGTGTGCGCACGTTCCAGCACCTGATGCTGAGTGCTTTGCGCGCAGGCATACGATTGCGTTGGTGGTCAATCGCACGCGAGGTGGTCGTTGTGCTTCGGAGGTTTGCTTGAGGGACTCCACCCGGAATCTTTAGCTCAATAGCCTGACCCATAAGGCAGTGAGCAGTTTGGAGGTTTCTTGCGGAACTCCGCCCGGAGTCTTTGGCTCAATAGCCTGATCCACAAGACAGTGGGGAGCAGATCCATCTCGGGAATGTGATTGCAGAGACAGATTGGGATCTGCTTGGCAGCCGTCACATGCAGCCTTTGAGGTACTGGAACGATTTATATATGTTTTGCGACCGTAGTAGGATACATCTGCGACTACGGCCAGACGCAGGTGGGTTTTGGCGGGTTTGCACCAATTTGACCAGGGGCTGCCTGGCTTGAGGCGGGCAGTAGCAAACCATTGAACACCCGGAGGTGCCCTCCCACCGTCAGAGACAATGCGTGGCACTCGTGCTCTACGCCAATCGAGCTGTGAGCTTATAACCCGTAGACCTGTTGTCTCCCATGGCTAGGTTTTACGGGAAGAGGGCCATCGACCACTTCCTAACCTCCGAAGAGGATGGACTAGGATACTGGCAGGGCGTCCACACCTGACAGGAGAACGACTCGGGTCCTCAGCCAAAGCCTTTGATTAAATGAACACCCGAAAGGCAGCGGGTCTAGCACATGGTCAGTTCACTGACTCATGCGGATTGGTGTCCTGGATCTTAGCAGGGAGAAGGGCGAAACCCAACTTCCACCCAGCGGTCGCCACAAAGAAGCGTCCAGGACATGAGCCAATGGCGCAACATTAGCAGCAGTGGGTAGATCATCTTTCATGGTCTAGCCACCACCAGCCTCAGCACACCATAAGCCCTCCCGCAACATATATATATATATATATATATATATATATATATATATATATATATATATATGTAGTATCTTGCTAATGGCCAAAGCCCCTACTGCTTCTAGATGTGCAACCCTGATAAATCTCCCAGGTTAGCAGGTACGACACGCGTGCTAACACGCTTCGTTTTGCATGTGGACGATCTGTGTTTCGTATACCACGAATCTTTGTCTCCGCTTACGCTTGGTAAAACCGAAACACATTCCATCATTTGCCCTACCACCTGAGCTACCGAGGGCTGACGATTAGGTGCGCAAATTTTAACACATGTCTTCTGCTTGGTGCGCAACGTGTTGTGCGTGAATTTTAATCGTGGCTTCTACTTTCTTCGAAATTTACACTACTCACAAACATCCTCCATTAATCTACTATCGCCCATTGGACGTCTGAAGGACAGGAACTTCGGTCTATTGGGAAGTGACGGGTGAGTGAGCCGATCTGCAACATCAGGACAGGTACTGTGAGCTTATTGGCAACACGTTGCGCACCAAGCAGAAGACATGTGTTAAAATTTGCGCACCTAATCGTCAGCCCTCGGTAGCTCAGGTGGTAGAGCAACGGACCGGAAATTCGTGGACCGGGGTTCGACTCCCCGTCGAGGCATATTATTGTGCGTGAATTTTAATCGTGGCTTCTACTTTCTTCGAAATTTACACTACTCACAAACATCCTCCATTAATCTACTATCGCCCATTGGACGTCTGAAGGACAGGAACTTCGGTCTATTGGGAAGTGACGGGTGAGTGAGCCGATCTGCAACATCAGGACAGGTACTGTGAGCTTATTGGCAACACGTTGCGCACCAAGCAGAAGACATGTGTTAAAATTTGCGCACCTAATCGTCAGCCCTCGGTAGCTCAGGTGGTAGAGCAACGGACCGGAAATTCGTGGACCGGGGTTCGACTCCCCGTCGAGGCATATTATTGTGCGTGAATTTTAATCGTGGCTTCTACTTTCTTCGAAATTTACACTACTCACAAACATCCTCCATTAATCTACTATCGCCCATTGGACGTCTGAAGGACAGGAACTTCGGTCTATTGGGAAGTGACGGGTGAGTGAGCCGATCTGCAACATCAGGACAGGTACTGTGAGCTTATTGGCAACACGTTGCGCACCAAGCAGAAGACATGTGTTAAAATTTGCGCACCTAATCGTCAGCCCTCGGTAGCTCAGGTGGTAGAGCAACGGACCGGAAATTCGTGGACCGGGGTTCGACTCCCCGTCGAGGCATATTATTGTGCGTGAATTTTAATCGTGGCTTCTACTTTCTTCGACATTCCATCATGTTGGGTTTTGTAAACGAACGACGTTATCGTAGCACAAACGTGGTATGATTGCTCATTGTCTAATACCAGAGGGAATACAGATAATTGGTCTGATCGATGTACGCCCTGCTGATATTTGTTTTAAAGTAGCTCTTCATGCAATAGGGAATATGTGTCATCGGTTGCGATATGGACGCTATGACTTGTGATCGAAATAATCATTCTTGCCCAAGTGTTTACCATTTACTGAACGCTTGTACCAGGGGGATGGACTCATGACGAAACTATTCCCCCAACCATGGTAGTTTTCTGGCAGCTGCTTGAATATTACGGTTCCTCGGTAGAGTACTGCTAACCACGTAATTTAGTGCACATGATGCATACTGAGCAAAGCTGAGGAAATGGTACGTGGGCCATGTATACAGGAACGTTAACAACTTGGAGCATGATAATGTTATTGGAAAAAGCCGCGAAACTGGTGGCGACATTGGAAACCCCCTCCTTTCATTAAGCAGGCGCAACGGTATGGTGACTATTGAATGTCGTTTTACCTTGCTCCAGTGCACTGGGACGTGTCCGTCGAATATGGCCATGAAGATGTCCTCCAGTTCGGATGACATAACTACAAGGCCTTGGATGCCTTTGCTCAAGTCAGTCAAGTCCCGTCGCATTTGTCTTAACAGGGCGTTGTATCGCTGAATTTCTTGCAACAGTACAACGACCAAAGGAGACGAATCGTTGGCAAATATCTTCACCGTACCGTCGTAATCTATGTCTTCAGGAATCTGCTTTTGCAAATTATCAATGAGTTCCAACACCAAGTCTTCGCGTGAGACCCCGGTTCCACTCGCGACCTGTAAAGTGAAAATACGGAGTGGGTTACTTTAACGAAAGTGCAGGAAGATGGCATCGAGAGGTCATATCTATCAAATCATCTGACACCACACGCACATAAGTTCGACTGCATAATATAGAATTTATGAGATAACTCGCGTTTTAGACTGCACTTGGCAGATTTGGCCGTGGTTCCCTCTTTATCATGACTGAAGACACACTTCTCTGGCTATCACGAAGTGTCTTGTCCACCCTTAAATTTTCATTGTGTGCAACAAGAGCTTAACCAGAAGCTACTCTTCGGATGCAATCCCAATGATCGGTGAACATTCCAATACCGAACAGTGAGCTTTTAACCGCTATGCCAAGCGTTGTTCGTGAGACTCAATGACATGGTGATCAAGGTGTCAGCCGGGAACCACCGCGTCCTGGGTTCCACTCTCAACTTCGACTATATCATCCACCTGGTGCATCCAAACGAGGACGAAATCAGCAGTGAAGTACATCGTTTAGGACGAGTAACCCTGAAGACTATCAACTTACTCGTCTTAGTCTTTTGACCGTTCTTGATACCTAGTACTTCTTTCTAGAATTTTGGCTGAAAGAACTATCCTGATTACAGCACAGCTCGAACTACGTAACACCTGCATAGTAACAACGGGGGTCGCGAATATTCCATTCACTACCGCGATCAGCATGACAGGGCAGCGGGACATTTACGGTTTTCATACACACGAAACGATACCGGCGGTTTTCCTATTCGAAAGAAGGAAGGTGTAGTGTACTCCCATCTCAGTTTACCTTCTGGGATTCCAAGTGAGTACCCGATACAGACTGTTCACTAGGTTTACTTGTAAAAGCTATATAAGGTATCGACGCATGTGAAGTGGTAGAGAATAATTTGCCGCACCCACTTGTGGTTGAAGAGAGAGTAACGTATCAAGTAGCATCCGGGATTCTTGAATTTGTGATGTGATGTCCGCGTTCGGATGCTGTCCGAAGGCTTCCGGGTGATCCATTTGGGGCAGCATGGAGGCAAATTCGCGGTAGGCATTCAACGTTCCGTCACGCGGTATATAATAATGGGTCAGAGAGGACAGCTTAAAGAATGGCTCTTTGATAGCATCCTCTTTAAAGTATTCATTGATGTACGTGTTGAGCAGACGGCGATCCCAGTCATCAGTCACGTGACCTCCATAGTTTATGTCTGCGATTAGGTAACGTAGCGCATCCCAAGCGGTCTCCTCGTACTGGTCCAGGTAGTTGGTAAGTAGATGTTCGGACACTTCGAAGTCAGAGTCATTGAACTCGTACGGGATATTCCATCCGAGCATGAGGAACTTACGACGCTCCAGTAAAATGGAGTGGAAAAAGCACAAGCAAAACAAGAGCTTCTTGTATTTTTCCGGCTTGTGGCATGTTGTGAACTGGTCTTCCTAAAAAGAGATAAAATGGTTGCAACAACTTCGTCAGATGGCTGTTGCGAGTGCTCAGAATATTGATGCATGCATAATAGTTCAAATAGCCCTATGGAGGACGCTGAAATGTCAAGCCAAAGACAGGTTTATTGATTCTTATTCCTGTCCATCCACGCCCACAGGTACTTAAGCCGTCGGTGGTGATCTATCTGTACTCTTTCTGTAAAAACACTGTAGTAACGCCATATGTACCTCGCCAGTCACCGTGCCGTTTTGCGCGGCACACGCTTTGAAAGTTGTCGGTTAAGCGGTCAGGATATGTCGCTCTTATTGATCCCGATACGCGTAAATGGTGCATCCTCTCGACCCACGATCTACTTTCGGACAAAATACCGTGATTATTGCGCAAGACCAATAATAAATAACCTCCGATAGAACCAGGAATTACATCAGCTCTACCGGAACAAATCCATGTCCTTAGGACCTGAACCCGAATTCTAAAATCCAGTTCCCGCAGGCAACTCAGCAACATGCCGGTCGCTCACCGTCCCGCCCGTCCGCACGCAGCAGTTAGTGGTGGTGGGGGAAGACAGCTTACGATGTGTAGGCTTTGAGTTACTTCATTACCTTTCTGTCTTGGTTTGACGGGAATTCCTTGAGACAAGATGATAGCCAGTCACCAATGGGTAAATGGTCATAGTGTCGCCTAGTGTTAAGAAAACTGTTAGCTTGAAACCGCTCTCTGCAGACTGACGAAATTCTACAGTTTCGGGTCGTGCGTGAATCCAATGCCGATAGACAACCGTGTGGATTTGATGATTCGAATCCTGCTGTTTAACTGCATGGAAATCGGACACGTGGTACTCACGCGCCGGTACAAAGAACTATGGCGGCTGAACTGTTCGCTGAGCTTGGCAATTTTGTTGCAAACGTTTCGTCACCAATCGAGGTGACATCATCAGTGCGTAGTTGAGTGGCATGCAATAGCGAAGAGTAGCGTAGAGGAGCCTCTAAGCTACTCTTCGCTATTGCATGCCACTCAACTACGCACTGATGATGTCACCTCGATTGGTGACGAAACGTTTGCAACAAAATTGCCAAGCTCAGCGAACAGTTCAGCCGCCATCTGAACAACCTGAGCTACCCGTCTTCAATGCTATAGCCAACAAAGAACTATGGTTTTATACGGGTAAAAAGCACTGCTTTACAAATCCCGTTGGGTAATCTGGTGAGTTATCGAAGAAGGTTAATTTAAAAAAGCCAGTCAGTAGTTCTATTGTCAAAAGAATGGACTTGTCGGTTATAATGCAGTAGCCCAGCACTACAAGTATTTCCATAGCTTCAGTAGGTGAAAAATTAAGTTCAAGGGGTTTTTCGGGAGTAGGATAGACAGTAGCGTCAAGTAACAAAATATAAGCTGCCGAGTGCGTCCTTTAGTCGACTTTTAAATATGGCTAGCGTGGGTGCAGAAACAACCGATTCGAGGAGATCGTTCCATAATTCACACACACCTAAATGGATGAGTAATTTCTACGACACGACAAACGATTGTACTCTTCTGCTAATTTCAAGGAGTGACCTCGAAGTTTGGTGTTACTGCTGAGTTGCAGTTAAGGAGCGGTGCACATGATTGTGTAAAATCAAGTACGCTATAATCAAGTCGTCTCGTAGTCGGCCATACCATCCGCTGAATACTTCAAGCGATTTCAACCCCTGCTCCTATGGAAGATGGCGCATTCCGATGAGGTATTTGGAAGTCCGACGTTGAGGGTGTTTGGCTGCGACCTCGGTGTAGTTGCCTTAGTCTGATAGATGTCAGCCAGGGCAGCTGGAGGGGTTAGGCATTTGCCTTGTTGCCACCAAAGGTCACCGGCTCGAATCTACATAGGATCGGACGATCTCGGAGTCTATGTGTCACTGATGGTGGTCGCGTGACAGCGAAGCCTTGATAATACTTATCGGGGTACTGCTGATTCTTACAGATACCACCGTAATTCTCACCTAGCAGAAACTCAGTGGGCGATTAAAGGTCCATTCGTGTTGAGTGGATGTATACTCACCGGTCACAATCTATACGTCGGCGTAACCTGCCTTCGTTTCAAGACTGGAGCAAACGCCCTGTACAACCCAGATGTCGGTTATGAGAGGTATTGATGCATTGTGTACTGAGTATGACCGTATTTTGTAGCAATGTATGCCAACTACTGTATAATTGGCTCAGAAGAAACGCCATGAGTGCAGTGATGGGCAGCACCGATAAGCGCTTGCAACCACCAACAATCTTTGTTCACACACGGACGCACTTCCCATACATGTGTTTACTATAATAACACAACAAGTATAACCGCACTTTCTGCTCGTATCTTTCAATGATTATATAGGTATAAGCCTTCACTCGCGCCTCCAGTTAGTGCGGAATTTTTCTATCATGATCGGGTCTAAGGCTGTTTGATATTCTCGATCAATACCGGCAATTTGTTTTTATATAAAGTAAAGTAAAGATGCATAATGCATCTAAGAGCTTTTCAAGCGTTCCCTCAGATCCACTAGAATCAGTGTCACTCACCTTGATCAAATGGTACAGTCGTTTCATATTAGCACGAAGACCTTTTGGTGGCTCTGTGGTCATCTTGATTCCTGCTTGCAGTATTGAGATCGGGAACTTTGGGTTCGGGTTTGATGACAACCACAAGCGGAAATCGCTGTTTGTCCCTTCTACCGACAGTTGTTCCACGATCTTGTCCAACGCTGGCATCCAAGACAAGGATAGATGACAGTTGGCCAGAAACACCCAGTTACCCTCACGGATTCCCTCCTTAATTAAACGCGTCGCAATCGGAGCTTGTCCTTGTCCCAGCGACAGACAGTTGAACTTTTTGGCCATGCCGCAGTTTTCTGCTAGTTGTAGGAGACCAGTTGTTGGATCCACTCCAGTAGAAAGGACGAAGATTAACGGGGTCCGCGCGTTGCTGTCTTCCACCACTTGCTTCATGTCCAACACTGGTGGCTCAACAAACCGATTGCCCAGGTTGCTGGTGATAAACGAGGTCGCACAAAATGAAACCCGATCTGGCCTCAGCGATCGTATGATGAGCATCCGTTGAAACTCGTTTGTCGTATTATCCCACTCCCCTGGTAATGCAGTGTTCTCTGGCTCAGCGGCAGTGAACCACACATTCCAATCTCGAGGATACTGTTCGAACGAAGTTATCAAACCGTGAAAATTAGCCAGCTTATCTAACTCCGTTAGATTGTCCCAGCATTGCTCCGAGAGCCAAGCGGAGCATGGATTGTCAAATTGGTTTTCACGATCTAGCACGATCCCACCGCGAAGGAAAAAGTTGTACTCCTCTTGATTCAGTTTTCCAGCGGACTCCAGAATCTTTACACAGATTTGGAATGAGAATAGTAACTTGTGGCGTTCAAACAAACCACGACAAGTGTACCGGTAGACAGCATAGGTATGATAGTCATTCAGGTGGAGGATACGATCTTCCAACTTGCCGGATCTTGGGCTTTTATCAATGCTAAGATTAAAGAGATCGATGTATGCGTCCAGAGCGAATTGATACATTGGATCTATGCGACCCAGGTCGTTCAGAACAAAGAATAAAACAGAAGCGCGTTGTGCACAAGGGCGATAGCCTTCTCGAGCAGCATCGATTTGAGCTTCCGTCTTCTCCGCTATTTGCAATTGTTCAGTTACCTCCTGCAAAAATAAATGATGTGAAGTTACCAAAAATAGTAGAAGGAAGCGTCAGAGGTTTAGCCATAATTGTACCACTTATGCACCTAACTTACGGTGGAGGTTGTTTTTGACGTCTGCAATGTGTTCACCAGTTGTTCATCGTCCAACAGAGAACCCTGGGCTTCATTGAGTAGGCGCAAAATCTCATCTTCCAGGTCGGCTAGTTTCCGTTTACCGGCCGCAATACCGATAACCAGTTTGTCCTTCTGCTCTTCTAGCTCTGGGCGCTCTTTACGAACTACAGTGCCCAGAAGCTGAGCCTCTAGACCTTGCTGTTTTACCGCAAAATTTACGACCGCCGTTTTGGAGCAAATTTCCGGTGTATAATGTGGGTTTGGTAGTTTGGTAGTGATGTAAAACCTGGAATAAAATACAGAGCACTTGAGTACTGTTCAAGAATGAGGCCTAGATGGTATAAAGAGTCATCGATGTCTTTGTTGGGTCCATATTCAACAAACACATCGAGACGTGGTGCTCTAACCTGTCTACAAACCGTAAATTATATAAAAAACGAATATCACAACTATGGAAGCCACTGATTGATGGACTGAGTGGGTGAAAATTCCTCAATACCTTTATATGTTGGCTTTATAACGCTTATCGTCATTGCATAGTTTCCCAATCTGCACTGTAGGAATTCGTGGAAACCCTGTTTCATTGTGTTTCTGTAGTACTAACCGCGCATTTCCCAACGGTCAGAATGTCCCATCAAAAACGCCAGACAGCATACCATTGGAAAGAACATGCTGATGTTATAAGTGGTCAATTCATTTAGCCAAACATTGAAGAGTTCTCACGCACCGTTGATTCCTGCATATGTTGTGTCTACATCCTCGCTACTTGCATAGGACGACCTTGTTTGCCGGTTCTAAGCTCGAAAGGGAAATCGTTGACCTATTGGTAGTAAGTGAGATGGAGGACGACTAAACTGCAGGTTAAAACTCACCCGACCCTCTCTCTCCTTGACTCCTACCCAATACCAGTGTTGACTATGCAGCCATTTCTTAATGGAACGGCCTGTTTAAGTTGTGTGTGGTGCCGAGATATCGGTGGGGAGATTTTGCTTATGACCTGAGGCAGTGAAAACCGCATACTGACCTAAAGTTTATGGCCATGCATTGTCATCAAATTGAAACGCATTGATTCGAAATACCCTCTTGTTGCAGTTGCTTCTATAATTGGTCCCTACTCTCTCTCTCCTGTTCACATTCTTCATTAGTGAGGTATATTACGGTTGTATGGTATCGAATCATCTGTGTGAAGGGCTGATGTGTCACTGTTGATTATAGGATGGAGGCGTTTAACAACTGTCCTTCAAAAACAATGCATACACACATTGAAGAGACGAATCTAACGTGCGAGTTTTGTCACTCTCACTTCAGATGCTCAGTGTCTCCGAGACCCTTTACGCTCGTCACACTATAAAGGTTAGGGTTCACTTTGTCCTCGTTTCCCCAACATTGAATAGCCGGCACTAAGACTAGAGCTAGCTACCGATCTCACAGCAGTCGCCAACGCTAACCAGGTCCAGCTGTATCCTAACTAGCATGCGACTTCCGACGACTGCTGTAGATCACCTGACATAAACACTAGCAGTTGGCTGCTGACTACATTAGATAGCAAAGAAGTTCCCTGAATCAGGTTTCTGGTGGAATTTCCTTTTCCATCTGGATGCGTGGTAGGCCTGAGACGCTTTCCACAAAACATGTCATTCCGCTCTCACACCATTTATAATTAGAAATGACTTCACAATTCACGGTGCTGTGTACACTGTACATAAGTCACCCTCATCAACCCTCAAACTACTGTAGTGCGAGTGATCTGTAACTGTTTAAACTGCAGCTGCTCTTGCCCACTCCTTCGAAACTTAAGTCTAACCCAGTTATAGCGTTTGAAACCATTAGTTTGAGTGTTCCATGGAAATCTCAAATGCACATAGGTTGCTTCCTCACAAAGTGTCGTTGCATCGCTGTTGTTCACTGCGGCACACACGGAGGGATGTTGAGAATCGCGGAAAGTGAGAGATGAGAGCATGCGTCCTTTGGAATGTGTATACAGAGTCGCACCGAATGGACATTTGGAACTCAATCCGGCGCGAGTTATTTCCGTTGTTTACTCTTACTGGTTGCTTGCGTATCACCAAGCGTATATCCACGCAAATCGTGCGATAGCCGTGAATAGCTTTCTTTGCTTGGACACATAAAACACTTTCAACCCCCAGTTCCCATTGGTTGTACGATTCCCCAAAGCAGACTAAGGTAAAATACCCCAAACTGAACACAGCTAATGCGAAAGGACAGGTGATACGTAGAGATTTGACACTAGTTGATCTCATGATGTTGTCAGCTGTCCCTAATCCGGTGTTTCCTTTAAATTACTTTGGTTTCTAACCACTAAACCAGCTTTCACGGCATACGATGGGCAAAGTCAAACAAACCGGTCTGGAACTCACCGGAATTGTGTGTTGTACTCCACCTCTTTGTCACCCAATCGTAAAATCATCGTTCCGCCCACTTTGATCAGAGACTTATTAAGGATTGGATCGAGAGCTTGATCCAAAGTATCTTGTATGTTTTGCAGAAGCACAGGTTGTCCATATTGGATGGCGTTCTCTAACAAGCGCATGGAATCGGGTGTTTGTAGGTCGATTACTCGAAGGTCCTTCCCTTCCATTGACTTGATCCATCGCTGGGCCTGACCTTGGGGGTCCACCATCAATGGCCATCGAGTACCGCGCGTAACGATAACACCATTTTCCACGGAAAACACATCGCGTGGCAATCCTTGAAGGTTCCACTCACGGACCTAAGACATAATGCGAAACAGGATGCAATTTTGTATGCAATGTGACTCTTTCTGCATGGCTCCTATTCTAGGACACCCGAGAATAACCAGTACCCCCTATTACCCCGCCAAACACCATAAACATGCGTCCTATGAAATAACCAGTCCCGTAGGTCTATCGTTGGTCACAGAAACGTCGAATGTGGGAGCGAAGTAACTAGGGGAGAAATCGCCGTATTCGGTCAGCAGCTGTCAAATGTCGCATTCAGAGTGGTAAACGATTCGCATTCGCCGACAAGTTATATGCTACTGCTTGACGTACTTTGTATCCAGTACACTAAGATACCACTGCATAAACGTCGACAGTAAGTAGCAAGTTGTTTCACGATACGTTCTCTGAGGCCCATTGCAGCGCTGACAATAAATGACCGGGCTTGACAAATCCATCATAATCCGAGGCATCGAATAGACCTAATGCTAAGCGCATTCGGTGCACTGGATTTGGTTCAGAAGAGAATCGAGTACGCACTTTTATGGACTATTGTAGTTGTAAGACTAACAGAAGTAGCTAGCAATCATATCTACCCTGTTGGTTCCTATGCAATTTATCCAGACTTCTGCTTCGGCCACAAATTCCTTAGCCCGCCTTTAGATGTTTGTAACTTCTCCAGGGTTTTAAGGAATATATCAACTCGACGAACTGCAGAAATGTCTATTATCTACAAACTACCTAACGACTGACGAAGAACTTAGCGCGCGTGGGTGAATCGCATACAGAAATGCACAGGACGAGGTGACCTTGAGAGATTGCGTGCCAATTGCTCACTTGTGCACTCGTGGTTTTTTAACTGTGGTTCAGCGACATTTTGTCGCACACCTTTGGATCCATACTTATTCGTCTTGCTTTTACAAGCTCTACTTTGTGACACCAGTTGCCCGAATATACTCCAGTGCATCCTACCTTTACCCTGATTTCTAACTTCCGGGCAGTGTTTCGCCGATATCCAAGCGCCAAAAGTTGCCTAACTCCAAACATCGGAGACATTGTTTGGTCTCACCCGATAGACCATTTCAATGGCTTTCGAACGAACTGTCACTCGTTCAAATCCAACATTGCTCGGTGCAGCTACAGGTCTCAAAGCAAATTCACCCGGCGCGATCCATAGGCTAAACCACGAAAATTCTCAATCACATCTTCGTGTATTCTACCCCACGTTCAAGCCGTCACATTCAACTGGCACGCCAGAGAGGACAGCCTAAAAGTACACAACTGCAACTTGACCACTGTGACCTTACCGACAACGTCAATAACAGAACGACTTTTTACCATAGAAGGTGAATCATTCAAATGGTTCGTAACCTTTGCTCAACAAGCGTGACGCCCAGTGTGCCACAGACTAGAGACCTATGTGGATCATGTTCCGAACTTGTTAAGGGGGGCATTTTGTGCCGTAACTGTTGCAAGTTCTTCCATGCGAGATGCCTCCGAGTTAAACCTAGTCAGGCCAAGTTATTAAACAAACCAGACTCGCTATGGTTCTGTGTGAAATGCACATCGATCCCACTGATAAAAAGCGTGCTCCTATTATCTCAGAAGTATGACCAGCTACTAGCCAAGTTTGAGGAAATGGTGACCACCGAAATCACTACGGTTGGGGTAAGCATAGCTGACTGTGCAACCCAATCCTCCCCCATTGGTTGCTGCTCCTAACCCGCGAAGAACTGTTAGTAACACCGTAAGCAGCACGAGACCTAGAGTCCAGAACATCAACAGCTGTCCCAATACCACACGCAGCTCACATTTGATTAAAGCGGTTCCCAGTTCGATCGGAGTAACTACACGTAAGACTACTTCCAAACTCCCGACGGAGTGCGGAGAAAAAGAGCAAACCGGTACGAGTGAAAGTTGGGTTACAGATGCCTCCAAGAAGAGCCGTCATTTAAAATTAACATCACCTCCAACTGGATCGGAAACTGAGGAGCGTAGCGGAGTTTTCCTAATGCAAGCTCCAACGGTTTCCTGCGGTACATCTCCGAGTACTTCAATCACTAACGGCAACGTGTCGAAAGGTGTAAAGAAACGACTACCTGTACTGAGCGTACTGTGCTCCAATATTCCAGAATCAAAGTCGACATCGATAAGAGGTAGGCAGTTGGATGACCTCAAACAGTGGGACATTATTAGTAACCTAATCGGTGTTGTACTTAAACCTGTACACGTAGTGTGTATTACACGACACCCCAACTCTAAGCATTTCGGAGAGCCAAGGCTTCTGCGCGTTGTGCTGAACTTTATCAGTGAAGTAGAATCAGTACTACTGTCGACAGGTAGTCTCAGAAATGAACACTGCTCCATCCGTATCTTTCCAGACAACCCATGGGGCGAACGTTATCGAGTTAACCGCACCTTAGAGGACTACCGGAAGGAAACTTCAACCAGGACCATACTTGTCCACGGGGTTCCTGAAACTGAAGCATGTGATGAGCATGAAGTAACAACCCATGATAAAGAACAGTGGCGTTATATTCGTGAAACACTCTGCTTGAATGATGTGTTAGCGAAATCCGTGTCACGACTGCGTACCTCACCGAACTACAAAGGTAGTGGCCCGAGAGTGTTGAAGGTGATCCTTCAGTCAAAACATATGGTAGCACGGATACTAAAAAACTGGTACATGTTCCGTTGCAGGCTGCTATTTGAGGTTCGGCTAAAGACAATCAGCGATATGCCTCCTAGTGATGATATGCCACTCAAAGAACCAAACGCGATGGGATCTACGCAAGAACAATGCACCAGTTTTATGCCGAATGTGCCCATACAACCTGTAGAAGGTGATATTGACCAGACACCTTACACTGTACGTCGAAGATTAGACGCGGGACTAAGTACACGGACGATGAATAAGTTGTTAAACCCTTCACTAAGTATACATCAAGAAAACGGTTAGTCGCCGGCCACTCACTGGTCGGCGAAACTTCACGTATGAGTTGTACAACCTCAGAAACATTGATTAAATCTGAGAAACTTTCATGTATGTACACTAACGCCTAAGGGTTCCTCAGTAAAATTACCGAACTACGACTACATCAGGTTGCGAATGCTTGGGATCTAATTTCTATTACAGAAACTTGGTTACACCAAGAGGTGACTGACGCTGAGGTTGAGATAGCCGGAGTGTCACTCATCCAGGACGACCGCCCCAGCAGAGGAGGTGGGGTCCTACTCTACTACCGCAGCGATCTACAATGTACAATAGTTGAAGATCTGGAAACACACGTTACCGACTCACTCTGGTGCCGTCTCCGACTAAGACACAACGACGCATATCTGGTAGCTGTCGTTTACCGCCCCCCAACGTCCACTCCGGAAACGGGTTCCCGCTTAATCCGTGGTCTGAACAGAGTAACACGCACTAGGTACAGCCACATTCTCATCTCCAGGGACTTCAATCTATACAATCTGGTTTTGGCATCACCCAGTGAGCAGTTCAAAACAGACTTGCATGAACTAATCGCTAATATTCCCCTGTACCCCTTGTATTTCCTGGTCAACACGCCCACTAGATTCAGGACAGCAAACAAACCGTCCATATTGAACCTTGTGCTCACGAATGAAGAGCTCATGGTTGCTAAGTTATTGATGCATAGTCCATTAGGTCCCAGTGACCATGTAGTAATAACGTTCAACCATGTGTGTTATGCAGAGTATCCAACTCACACAATCACACGCTACCACGTATTGAAAGAACTCGCCGACGCAGCTGCTTGGGAATTCTCAAACAAAAGTCCCCTTGACAACGTTTGGGCAGAATTCGTTAATAGATCCAGCGACATCGTCAACAAAGCATCAGAGACCAAACCCCTTCGTCCCGCAAAAATGCCTTCAATTCTAAGGAGCAGGACTCGAAAATGCCTGGCGATAAGGGATGCAGCATGGTGTGCTTACAAGAGTAACCCCGACTCAGAGACTTGGGGAAATTTCCTGGCCCATCGCAACCATTGCACCACACTTGTCCGTGAGGACAAAGTAACTTATCAACAGAGCCTAGCCAAAAAATTCATGGCAAACAACAAACTGCTATATAGACAAGTCAATAAGCTTCGTAAAGTGAAGCATGGAATCTCTCCACTTTTCACGACAGGCGGTAGAGTACAAAGTTCCGAAGAAGCAGCTAATGCCCTACGGCAACAATACGCCCCAATTCTCGAACTCGCAACCTCCACTTGTCCCCTAATGTCATACACATTACCGACACCATTGTTTACAAATGTAATTTTCAACCCATCAATTGTGCTAAGGAAGTTACTCTCACTGCGTGAGCATAGTTCTCCGGGAGCAGACAACATCCGCCCGAAGGCACTGAAGGCTGTGGCCAACAAGCTAGCTGAACCACTGTCACAGTTGTTCCAAAGGTGATCTGATGAAAAACAAGTCCCCACTATGTGGAAGTATGACATTATCACCCCTATTTTTAAAGGCGGTAGCCGTCCAGATCCTGCAAACTATCGCCCAGTGACTTTCCTCCCTGTGCGCGTAAAGGTTATGGAACCAGTCGTCGTTGAGGCTTTAATGGACTGCCTGGAAAAATGCAATATCTTGGTACCGGAACAGCATGGCTTCCGTCAGCACCGGTCATGCACCACCAACCTACTGAATGCACGAGGTAGTTGGACCGAAGTGGCTGATGATGGAGTCGGAGTTGACGTCATCTAGCTGGACTTCTCAAAAGCTTTCGACCGCCTGGATCACCGCATCCTACTTCAACGGCTACAGAGTTAAGAAATCGGAGATCCTGTAATTAGTTGGATTGGCAGCTTCCTTCATCAACGGAAGCTTCCAGTACTTGTTAGGGGATCACTCTCTAACCCAATTGAGGTGGAATGTGGTGTCCCACAAGTCTCAGTGCTGGGACCGCGCTTACTCCTGGTATTTATCAACGACCTGGCAAGAGTTATCTCCTCTAAGTTCCTGCGTTTCGCTGATGAGGTCAAGATATGACGGGTGATTAGTAACAATACAGATCATGATATACCCCAACATGACCTAGATCGCATTTCTGAATGATCAAAGAGGAACCTGCTTCAGTTGAACATAGCTAAGTGCAAGGTGATCTATCTGCTTCACCAGCCGGTGAGCGCTTAATAGTTTGGAAACCACACCTTGCAGAAGGCCTCTCAGGAGGGTGACCTGGGTGTATTGGTACAGGAAGATCTCGGATGTTCAAAACAATCAGAGAAGACGACGAGAACCGGCAATCAACAATTCGGCCTTCTTCGCAGAGCCTTCGGTCGGTTTGAAGCGTCAATATTTCCCCAAATGCTTAACACCTACGTGCGACCGCAAGTGGAATATGCTATTCACGTGTGGCTGCTTGGCAGAAACAGGATCTTGTTGCTTTCGAGACTCCTCAACGAAGGGCAACCAAGAACCTAAGGGGCCCCTTTCATCTGCCCTATCAACTTAGACTGAAATCTCTAAGAGTGTACAGTAGTCGATATCGGCTTTTGCGAGGGGATCTCATAATGGTTTACCAAAATCTGGAGAACCCAGACCACATTTGTCGTCCGCTGCTGGAATTGAACCGCAACACTAACCTAAGAGTTCACCCTCTGAAACTGATAATTCAGTATAACCGGCTTGAATGCCGCAAAAACTTCTTTTCCCTCCGAGTGTGCCATCCTCGGAATGCCCTCCCTAATTATGTCGTCTCTGCTCCCAATCTGGCGATATTTAAAAAACATGTTGACGATGCGTTGTCTCATTTGCATTTCATTTTCTGACTTGTTAGCCAGGGGCTACAAAACGCAATCAAACGGTGTCTTGTCAAACGCCTAACCAATGGATTTATTGATTTATAGGTTTAATACGCGAACATCTCCGCTATTCTACATAAGTCTGTGGTGAGTCCACCACAACGCTTTTCACTTTATCATGCAATTGGTTTTCGCAATAATTTCCATCCCACGGGACTTGTTAAGCAATGCTTTTTTTACCCGTTATAAACCATGGTTCCATTGACTATAAGATATGCATAAAGCGAAACGTTTCACGTAGAGTATATCATAAATGTGCGCATGTGAGGTGAGGGTAGTAGGTGTATTAGACACAGAACATGTAATATTGACTAGTTCCACACCACGCTTGCGATCATGATTTAGCTGTTAGATTACGGACCTATGCGGTAATCAATGCCAGTTTTGTCTAACATCACTATCGTAGCTTCTGGACTTCCTCAGCGATGCTAACGTCGCCCATCCCAACTTCGTGTCTCTGAATGCTCCCATGCACTTAGTATAAATCCGGCAAATATCAAACCAGCATCATTACGTGATGTCGCTGTTGAAGCCAGTACCAACTACACACCAGCCCCTGCAGCATCCTGGTGAGAAGGCGTCTCGCGGATGGCTAGCATAAGCGGCTTATTAGAACAACATACTCACTTGGGTGGGGTCTGCTAAGAAATCTGTGAACACGAACGGATCGGTGGCTGGAGCGGCTTCTGCGCGGACCAGACCAAGCCAGTCCTTCACTAGTTTCTCACGGTATTCACTCAGGAACGGTCCCATGTAGGACAAGAACCCAGCAGCCAGAAGGCAATCTCCCGGGAGCAAATCAATCCGTTGGAGTAAGTCTGCGACAGTCGTTTCCCAACGTAACTTTTCACCTGCCAGTCCACTGACCAATTTGTTCGCTCGATCCAGCATCTTTTCGGTGTGCTCCGCCTTTTGTCGAAGTTCTTCTTTCTGTTCCATCTGAAGTTTTCACAAGCGAAAATGGTGGGTATGATTATGATCGGAGCTTCAACCTGTCATTAACGTCAAAAAGCATTTTTTTACAACGCTTCTCTGGTTGACACCTTAATGTCGCATCCCATTCCAGAGAATGCACTATGTTTGAAGCCACATTAAGATCCACACGCCGCAATGTCGTTGATGCTAGTAGCTATCAATCTAAAACTGTCAGATCATTCTCGGATGCAGTTCCATATAGTGCCCACTCGGAATGGGACCAATCTAATATGAGCCTGTCAGTGCATAAGTCATAAAAGCGCACAAGTCTTGGCCTGTCTTATTAGCCAACCAGACTATACTGCCATGTCCTAGTGAATGCAGTATACATTTCCTCTTCAACCACTGCGGCAATGCCAGGAGTCTACGGGCTACGTGGGAATGCGGTGACAATGTTTGTTAGAGGCAATAAAACAACACTTGTGTGTGGCCCAATTGCGCTTACCTTCTCGTTGTACTCCTGTTGCAAACGTCGCATTTGTGCATTGACGTCGTCTAGCTTCGCCTGTGCGGCAGCCAACATTTCTTGCTTCTCACGCAGCACCGCCTCTGCCTGTTGCAACCGTTGACGCTTCGGCTCCACAACTCGATACACGCGGCCGTAAACTTCTATAGCGCGGACCCACATGCACAAGGATTTCGCAGCACTCGACACCTTTGAGACAGAACGGCAACAAACAATAGAGTAGTTCGACCACTTCCAGCGCTTAGCGATGGAAAAAGAGTCTCCCTCATTCACTACCACTGTGGACGTAAGGGCATAGATGACCTCCAAAGGACGAAGTGACTGCTTGAGTCTACTCGCACGCACTATCTACGTGGCGAGCATCAGGGAATATAAGGTTAGATCTGTTAGAACAATCTTCATCTGTTGATCGTTTAAAGCATAATTCGGTCAGACAGGAGTAAACTGTCTATTCATATCCATCACAAGTAACATTGGCTCCCGTCAAATTAATGCCCACCAGTTGGAACGCACTTAGCCGCCAGAATGACACGTTGTTTGCAGCAATGTGCTAGTAGACCTGAGGACCTAGTTGAGCCTATGTTCGTAACGGTACTAAGTGACAGTTTATTATTGAATACAACTTATCGATGGGCACTATCACATCACTCCTTACCTTTCCCACCACTTCCGGGTGAAAGTCATCTTGTGAGCAGTACAGTCCTATCTTCTTCATTGTTCTGTCGTTTATGTTGTCCTTGTCAAAGTTCACCAACTGTTTGATGAAATCCTGCTCCCCGAGTTGACGTCTAGCCTCGGTCCAAGTCGGCTCGGCGCCTCGAAGAATCATAACTGCTTCCAACACCTACAACCGAACGGGATAATACCAAACCTAGTTTCATCGAGCTAATTGATACCGAAGTGATTGGATACTGTGCCGTACAAGCGATTTATCCTTGTCAGACACTAACTCATATAGTGATAATTGAATGTGGGGTGGGAGACTCATTGCTCACCTTTTGCACCAAAAACGGAGGCTTGCCGTAGGACTTAATTTCCGTGATATCCTTCTTGTTCAACGCTTCTAAGGCCTGCACAGCAGCTTCGAGAGCGGGCATGGCTTGGGCCAAATCAGCCATGGCTAACTCAGCCATGTGCATACATTTGACCTCATCCACTTTGATCCTCTCTTGCGTTTGCATGACAGACTGGAAGGATAGGAAAGTACTAGTTCAGGCTTTGACATGAAAAGGGACAAAGTCACATTTTAGCAGTAGCAAATACTACTTCGTTTTCAATTTCACGATGGGAATTTCTTCAACTGTTGTCATCGCTAACTTCCTCATCGTGTGAAATATATGCAAATTGGTTTGAACCATTGCTTGGTCTCCTCTTCAACACTATAGATAAAATGAACTCAAACTAGCATGTATTTGCGTAAAGTGTTCTTGGTGCACAGCGCTGTTCGATGTTAAGCTCATATTCAGCATCACATGGATGCTTACATGCACTCTACTATACCTTTCGGTTGGGCATGGTCGTGGACCCTAGGTTCCACCCTGTCGATTTAAGTATCATATGCGAAGATGCAGCTAGTGGATTCTAAAAACTGCGATTAATCACACGTTCGTGTGCACTATGATCACCTCATTCAGTGAAATTTGCTGAGTAGTGCCTAAACCTAAAAGTGTTAACACCACATTTTACCTCTCACCAAAGTTCTCATCAACCAGTAGTGCACATAGTATGCCTTTTGAGGTGCATCAACAACTTTCATTATGGTTTTCTACACGGTGATGGTCCATTGATACCACTTGCTTGATTGGCTGTTAACAAGGAAGGTGTTCACGCTAACCTTGGCCTGTTCATCGGCTTCCCGCTTCTGTTGAACAATGACAACCAGGTAGTCATCGCATTCTTTCTGGAAGTTGGCAACCTTCTTCCGCGTTTCTTCCAGTTCCTCGGACATTACTGTTAACATAAAAGTGATTGAGATCAAACGAGAGGAAATAATACCAATCCCTGGAAGCTTGTTCAGTTTCAAATATTGAAAGGATATCAGCCACTAAAACTTTTCGCAGCAATGTGATTCATCTAATATTATCTTTTGTACATGATTGATGAGTTATGTTTCGACAAAGTTACCCCTCCGAATCAACCACTAGCTGGTATGCTGACTCCATCATATGGAATGTGCGCAACTACTACATTTAAGTCAGGAGTGTCGTCGCTAAGCTTCTCGCTTAGGTTGCTTTACAGTGCAGTCAACAGAATACGTGATGTAACCGAGTTTCCACTGAAACGTTTCGCAACAATCTGTTACTAATAGTGTAGATTAGACCGTGTGGGCCGCTTTTATCCGAGTCTTACTGTCGTGGACTTCTAAGTGAATTTTCCTTATCTGAAAATGCTTTTTATTTGCTTAGTTCCAGTCAAAAAGTGTCTTATACAATATGCGCATCGTGTAGTACAGTGTTGTCCAAATTATTATACATTTATTGAATCCAGCAAACGTTTTTCATATTTCTTCACATTTCTCGTAAGAATAAAATGATGTAGTTAGAGGAGCAATGAAAATACAGGTATGCTTGTGTATCCGTTCATGACTGCAGACTTTCGTTTTTCTACGGTGGTTCACTGATATTTTAGCGCATCATTTCGCTATCCTTATTGGCTATTTGGAGTCGTTGTTTTTGCCTTCAGATCGCAGCCATACTCTGACGCTATCATTCTCGCTTTACGTTCTTTGTGTGCATTTGATCGGTTTCTCATTTGTTCAGTTCTTATCGGCTTTAATTGTCCGCACCCTTTCCGTACTCTGGTTGACTTTCACTTTTGTGCGTTATGTTATATAACGAAGGGGTTTCCCTGCGTAAAAGTACCCTTGGATCTTTGTCCCTGGTCTTACTACCATTAGTGGGCTGGAGCAGTCGCGGGGCTCCGACACAACAGATTTTACTGTAAACTGACTGCATTTTACAAGGAAAACATAAACCAATTAGAAATTCAACAAAACTAATATTTTGTATTGGATAATTTGCCAATTTGCAGAGTTAACACGCAAAGGCATGGAGTGCATTAGTTTTGCAACCGATGTTGCCTGTACAGTAGTTACATAAACCGACGGTCACGTTTTTACCTTAATCTGCTATTTTCTGCTGCAGGCTACATTTCTGTTTTAAATTTGTCTCTTTTGGATCAATTTATAATTATATTTAATTGCTTTTAGTATTATTTTCAATGGATCCATTCGAGTAACGACACAACCGTGTTGCTCGGCAGTTTTCGGATGGTATTAGCATAGTAATAGGCAAGTTACATGACCTAACCCCTTGAAAGTGTGCAAAGATTGAAATTTTGTTGAAAGGGGTAAGAGGATCAGACATTGCTGTCATGTTTGGTGTTAGCCCGGTGTCTGTACGCCAAATAGGAAATAAATTGCAAAGGAACTTATCCCTGTCCCCTAAACGTTCCAGTAAATGTGGTCGCAGGGAAGCAGCAACAGCTCGAGACGATTCACTTCCACTTAGAGAATGCCGAAAGAATCGCGAAGCATTTAGCAGACAGCTACAAGGGATGTTAGAACAGCATGGTGTTGCAGTAAGTTCCAGAACTGTAAGAAGACGACTTTTGGATTCTGGACTTCGAGCTTGCGCACCTCTGAGGAAGCAAAAGTTGACCAAACAACTAAAAGAAGAACGACAGGAATGGGCAAAACAGCTTGAAAATGGTCGAAAGGAGACTTGGAGCGGGTAAGAAGCAAAAGATTTATTTTTAAGAAGGTTTTCGAGAAAACGTGTGCCCACATTGCTTGAGTAGTTCCAACGGCCTTTCTGTGTTTTATTTTACGTGGTTTTCAGCGATGAGTGTATCATCCGGTGCTCTGACCAGCAATCTCTATATGTCCGGCGATTACCTAGAGAACAAATGAGGGAACACCGTATCGCCGAACGAGTCAAGTATCTCACTCAGATCATAATATGGAGCGTTATGAGCATCTACAGAACTGGTCGGCTCCACATCGTCCATGGTAACATGAAACAGCAGCAGTGCAAAACACTACTAGAGCACCAACTGTACCATCAGCTGTGTGAATGGGCAAAGAAAAACAGATTTACAGGGACAGGAGACTTCATTTTCATGCATGACAGTGCTCCATATCACAAAGGGCATGAAGTAACCCGTTTCCTTGAGGACTATGCTATTGAAGTGTTACCATGGTCTGGTAATACCCCTGCCATGTATCAAATGGAGAACTTATGGGAAATTCTAAAATCAGAGATAAGAGAACTTTTTTACAAATAAGCATCAGCTCAATGAAGAAATTATAGCGACCTGGAAACGCAGTGAAAGCATAACAGAACATCGTAAAAAAAAACTTATTCACTCTATACCTTTGCGTGTTAACTCCTTGAAAATTACCAAAGGATCATTTACAAAATACTAGCCTTGCTGACTTTCTAATCGACATATGTATCACTTGGAAAATATACTACTCTTCTGTAAAATATAATCAGTTTACAGTTAAGTCATTTACTTTTTACGAGAAATGTGAAGAAATATGAAAAGTGTTTGCTGAATTCTACAAATTTATAATAACTTGGCCAACACTGTAATTTCGTTTCAACGGCAATGGAAATGCGAGCAATTGAGATAAAAACTGTGGAGTGCAAACATTAAGTTGATGAAAACTTCGCTTTGTATCCAGATGCACTCAGTGCCTACGAAAGATTTAGTGATTTAAAAACCTGTGACGAATGCTCTTGTGTTCTGCTGATTTTTAACTGCGAATAATCAAAATAAGTTAACTCCATGGATCTAAGTGTCACAGTTTTGTTGCACTATAGGTCACTAACCTTCCACCTTCTCACGGGTTTCATCTATCTTTCCCAAACCGTTTGCAAGTTTATTCGCTTTGTCACTGAGCTGTTTTCGCTTCTGATATAGCAGGCTGAAAATTGGAATATGAGAAGCGAGATGCTAGATGTGAGCAAGGCCAATGACAAATCGTGTTCCTCCTAACTTGAAACCACCAACATAGCAACAATTGCATGGTAAGAGGTGGACCTCAAAAGAACAATCTATTGACTAGCTAAATCGGCTGGTTTTTGACGAGGGGGTTTCACTCAGAACGATCGTAATTCGATAGGCCCACCAAATGCCGTACGTATTTTTTTATACATGATTGACGAGTTATGTTTCGACAAAGTTACCCGTCCGAATCAACCACAAGCTGGTATGTTGACTGCATCACGGAATGTGCGCAACTACTACAGCTAAGTCAGAAGTGTCGTCGCTAAGCTTCTCATTTAGGTCCATTGACAGTGCGCTCAACAGAGTAAGAGACGCAACCGACTTACTTCATACTGCTTTAGAGAGAGCTCAGTTGGCCGGACGAACAGTCCCGGTCTGTTAGGGGAGGGGGGAGACAAAGAGCACAAGCCCCGTGGACCAAGTGCGCTTAAACCCGGTGAGCTAAGAGTCGTCCACGTTCTCCTACCCTTTGGGGAGGAATGCCGGTAGATTCACTTCAATGCAGTGCGGACCAACATGAGTACTACACAGTTTATTACATTTTAAAGTATTGATGTTACGGTTTGGATGCCCAGAGCCGGTTGCAGACCACCCGACATCAACAGGAGCAATATTATCAATACGCACTAAAGCGAAACTTGATGAGTGTTGCGGGCCCGTCAAATATCCTCGTAAAAGCACGCCAGAAACTCCGGCATAATGGCTGTGGAAAGCGGGGTCCGATTCCTCCCCACAATGTAACAGTGTTCAGCCACTCCGAGACGTGGCCCAACTGCGCACCAGTTGACGATGTTCTTTTACAAACTACCACCCCATCGTAGTAACTGTTTTACCTAAATTAATGACCCATAGCATTGGCTGTGATCCGCCCTTTGTTGGTCGTAAAAGAGCCTACAGAGGATCACTTGCCTTTCTTCCTCTTCGCCTTAGTTGGGTCGGTCGGTCACGTGATTTTGTGTGCGTCGTTAGGCGGGCAGCGTTCGCGTCTAAGTCACTAGTGCGCGTCTACCGTAATCCCCTCTCGTGTGCGTGCGTTCCGAGGGCTCAGCGTCTACCCGAATACATGCGGCTAGGATCCTTCTCACCCTCGCTCAATTTCCGTCTCACCAGCGCGTACCCCGGGCTAAGCTAACACCTCAGGTCAGCGCAAATCCGTTCGATTGGCCAGCGTTCCAAGCCGTTACCGTAGGTGTGCTCCAATCGTGCCAGTGACAATCTTATCAGGCGTTCCCTCAATCGTAACAATGCGGCGCTTGAAACTCAATCGTCAAGCCTAGAAAGCATGTGAACGCTTGAGTAGCTGAATCCTTTCTCACAATCGTTACCGTTAACGCTTATTGGACTCCGTGCCTGGGCAACTTTGCACTAGCAACGACCTGTGACATAATTATTGATACGGTGGTATGTGCCGGCCGTTTGAGGAGTAGAAAATCGTGACGTCGGATCAAGTAGATCCAAGTGCGTATTGGTGGCTATTTTCGTCATGTTTAAAAAGCCAAATGTGTTGGTGCCCCAGGAGTGATCCACTAACCGGGTTCTGGCCCCAAGCTTTTCCACTGAGTCGTAGCTTTCCTCTAATGACGATCCAACCGTGCTTCCCTCGGATACCCCCATAAGGAAGACAGAACATCGCCTCAAGTGGGTCAGTGGCATAATTATATTGGATCGCATGCTGTGGAATAGGTCCACTTGTTACCTTGAGAATCAAATAATGGGTATGTGAGAGACGAGTTAACCTCACCAACAGGGGGTGATGTGCCACTGTCACTGGGAACAATGTCAAATGATTCTCACTGGTCAATGTGGGCTCATAATGAGGCCCAAATTTCGTACCCTGTTGCTGAAAGCTTTCCGATGCAATGACTCTTTCCCTACTAACTAAAGTTGATCGCTATCAACAGTTTCCTACACAACACTCTCGGTTTTACATCGATGGTGAGGGTTTGCATTCATCCATCTCCGTTACGTATCCACCCATCACCCTGTACCATGACGTATCGAGGTCACTATATGTGAAAGGAACATTTGGAAGAATCATGAGGCTGCTGTGTTACGTTTAATTTTGAGATCTCCCTACCTCCGCTGTTTCGTGCTTCTGTGTATCGTTTCCTGTATTCTACCCCATTGAACGTATACATATCCCGCCATTTTTTCGATTTAATGACCAAGGGTTTTAGGGCACTTTCCAGGATAGCAGAACATTTCTCTCCTTGTAGCGGTATCCGAAAGCCGACTTTTTTTAACCTATGGAGCAATTGTTTATGACGGGTATAAAAGCGAATACTTGACATATACCTTAGGATGATTGTGCTGATAAGTACAAAATAAAAAATAGTGCCAGTAAAGGAATGAGGGAAATACAAGACTCACCAAGCCGTTTGGAGTAATTCACGTGCGAGTAGGGTTATGACACCGTCCACTGTTGTGCACTAATGCAATTGTCTTTTGGTCACGGGCTATATCACCTTGTGTAAATGTCTCAGCGTACCATCAAGGCGTTTTTTTGAAAAGGGATAAGGTGTGAGCTTTCATTACATATGCCGGGATAGCGTTCCATGGCTGTGACACTCGGAGAGAGAAAAAGTTTTGTCGACCTTCCAGTCGGCTGTATTGTGTGAGCAGCCTAAACTGATGACCACTCAGAGATGTGTTTCGACTGAGTTTCAAATGAGAATGGCATGTGTGCTTGTGGTATCTCAGGATCTGGTACACCATTATGAGATCGCCCCTTAGACGCCGATAATCGCCGCTGTATAAGTTGAGGGTTTTCAGCCTGAGTGGGTAGGGAAGGCGGGACAAACCTCTGATGTTCTTTGTCGCCCTGCGTTGTGCGATATCGAGTGCGGTGAGATGGTGCTTCAGTCAGGGTTGCCACGCTTGTATAGTGTATTTTGCGTGCGGCATTACCTACGCACCAAGCATTTTCGGAAAGACAGGCGTCAAACTTCCCGGACGCTTTACGAAGAAGGCCGAAATGCTGGCTTACTTTTTTATGACTTTTCAGTTTGCCTCACGTAACCGAGATCATACTGAACAAGCATGCCGAAATCGCACTCATGAGAAGCCCTCTGTAGTATTTGTGATCCTAGGCGGTAGTTGTGAATACTCTGATGTCGTGTGCTGAGAATTTTGCACTTGCTGGCGTTGAAATGCAGCATATTCTCGATGGACCATGTGTGTGTTTTGTCCAGGTTATCCTGTTAGGCTGTGTGCTCCTCCACTGTAGCTATAGCATGCCATATCTTTAGATCATCGGCAAATGGCAGACAGTTTGAAGATAGTACACAGGCGAGATCATTTATGAAGACCAGGAACAGGCGGGGTCTGAGTACTGCGCCCTGAGGTACGCAACATTGAACTCCGATTGGTTCCGATAGGGTGCTGCGAACCCTTACATTCAGGTGACGCTGGACGCGAAAGTCTCTTATGCAGCCCAGAACTGGATCGCCGATTCCATATTTCCGGAATTTATGCAGTAGAACGCGATGGTATAGACGGTAAAATGCCCTTTAGAAATCCAGGTAGGCCTTGTCGGCTCCTACAACAGCATCCATAGATTCCGTCCAGCTTGCACGAGTTGTCAATAGATTAGTGGCACATGATCGATTTTGGCGAACTCCGTACTGCCCCGGAACGAGAATATTGTTACTCTTCAGGTACTCCATTGAAGCCTCAGCTACAACGGACTCCATAACCCTGGAGATCACCGGAGTGATGATCCCTTGCTTTCACATCGTGGAGACGTGCGTCTCGTTAGGACATTGCTAAAAGAGAATTGCTAGCGGTTCCGCTAAGCTCATGGCGGCAACTTTCAATTCCTTCAGCCGAATGCCGTCTGCACCCCGGGAGCTGAACTCGCGCATGGATATCAGCCTCTTTACTAAAGCTGTGGAAGTAAACGATGTGTGATTAAGTCCAGATTGCGGCATGATCTGCGAAGGCACGATGTAAGGTGACTGCACGCTTTGGCAGTTACGGCCAAATTGTTGTCCAAGTACGTTGGCCGCCTCTTGTGCCGTTTGTGCTAACCCGCATGTTGTGTGTGGAGCAGGAATTCCATGCTTAACCCAAGCGCAGGTTGTTTACATGTCTGTATAGCAGCTTGGGATTAGAGCAAAATTTTTCCGTTGGTTTATCCTTCCGGACGAGTTTGTCACAGTTGTCCTCGCTTGGAGAGCCTGTGTAGGTGAGCCATGCCAAGTCCCTTAATGCCATGCATTTACATGTCCTGCTCTTTACGAAAGACTGCGCTTTTTGGGTCGGTGGACTTAAGTGTTAGATATACTTGTCACGAACTTGTTGAATCTGTTGACGAATTCTCCGCAAGCCACCTCAGGGGACCATTTGGCTAGGAACGACCAGCTTGTTGTACCAATGCGGTCGGACAGGTCATCATAGTTAGTTACGAGGTAATGTACCTCGACATGCTCTTTAGGATACTCCGCATAGCACATGCAACACAACAATAGTGTCACATGATCGCTGCGGCCCAACGAAGTTCACGTGGTTATTACGTCGATCAGGGGTTTCTCGTTAGTGAAAATGAGATCCAAACTGGCCAGTTTATTCCCTGTACTGAAACGCCTGGATGGAGTGACATGGTTTTCCAGCGGTGAACCAGCGATTAGGTCTTGCAGTTCTGTCCGGGAGAAAGTAAGAATTGCCTTGGAAATTCCCTATTTTAGCGATTAATCGATTATTAACGATCATCGCATCGATTTCGAACGTTCCTGAATGTTCTTCTTCTACACGTGATCAAAATCCACCTGACCTCTCGGTAAAAGATATGGGGAACCACTAACCTTGGCAGCTGACCTTCCAATTCTAGAAGTCGAAGGTCAGTAGAGACCTATAAATACAGCCAAGGTCCGCAGTTGTTGTACAGTGTTCGTTGGCTGCGATTAATACGTTATTTGT